CTCATTTAAGAAACCCAACTATTTATGGTTCTTTCTTCAGGGATAATTTGTAAATTTAAATATAACAATAGAGAAACTAATAGCAACAAGCATTAGAAAGTCAAGGTGGATTATTTATCAACATCGTTTGAATATGTAGTTTTCGGCTGGTATGACATGGTGGTTAGGGTACTTGACTCTTAATCTGTGGGTCGCGGGTTCGAATCCCGTCCCTGAACATGCTCGCCTTTTCAGACTTGGCGTTATAATGTTACGGTCAATTCCACTTTTAGTTGGTAAAAGAGTAGCCACAGAGTTGGCGGTGGATGGTGTTGATTGGCTTCCCTTTAATCTATCACTTCTAAATTAGGGACGGCTAGCGCAGATAACTCTCGAGAAACTGTGCAATATTCAACCAACAACCAACCATGTGTTGATAACATGAAATTGCAATTTTGAAATACTACAGGTTTCAGTTTTGTTCTGTGACGTAATGACGGATGACGTAAAAGACACTATTACGTGTAGAGTAGTTTTCACATGAAGTATACGTCAGCTATCCCACACATATATTACATACCCTACAAGCATTTGAGTAGGCGGGATATCTGTCGTTCCTAAACCCAAACAACACCCAGGAAATCGTAACAACTGAGTAAAAATTTAACCTGACACAAAGTTTGGCGACAACGTAACTTCAGTTCTTCTCATAAATTTTAACGATCACGTCGATAAACAAGTTTTCCCCATTAACTCTGACCCACAGAGAATTTCCGAGGTTTTGCTTTGACATGATGTTGCCTAGTATCTGTTGCCCGGTATCGCAGTAAGACATTACATATATCGTAACTGCTTCAGAAGCTATCGCCAACCTCAAATGTCATAAGGTCTTGGTAGACCGTGGAAAACAAATAAAATACACGCAATCTTAACTTTGTTATGCAAGCGTAGATAATTTAAAGTTGTAGAAGACGAGTCATATTGATTAATGTACATGTCTTGGTAGACCGTGGAAAACAAATAAAATATACACAATCTTAACTTTGTTATGCAAGCGTAAATAATTTAAAGTTGTAGAAGACGAGTCATATTGATTAATGTACATGTCTTGGTAGACCGTGGAAAACAAATAAAATATACGCAATCTTAACTTTGTTATGCAAGCGTAGATAATTTAAAGTTGTAGAAGAAGAGTCATATTGATTAATGTACATGTCTTGGTAGACCGTGGAAAACAAATAAAATATACGCAATCTTAACTTTGTTATGCAAGCGTAGATAATTTAAAGTTGTAGAAGACGAGTCATATTGATTAATGTACATGTCAGATACTTCAACATCTTAACCAGATTCATTGTTTAATTCTATACAGCTACAAACAAGTTCATGTGATTACACATACAACCTGAAGCGGGGATTTCTGTGTAGATTACTGTTACAACCACGGGGAATATTGTATGACCTTTGACCTTACGATGACCCGATACTATGGATCAAACCATGTAATAATTAAAATCTGGTAAAAGTCGTTGTTACTGTAATTTGAATCAATTCCACAGTATTCATTGAGAAGACATCGAGGGTGAACACAGGGACATTTCGTGCCTTCTTTCCTCGGTGATTATTTGCCCCCCCTCCCCCTTCAGTAGCACAGCGGCATGTCTGTGGACTTACAACGCTAGAAATCGGGTTTCAATACCCGTGGTGGGCAGAGCACAGATAACCCATTGTGTAGTTTTTGTGCTTAATTCCAAACAATAAATCCTCAGTGATTCAAATAACACGTAAACAATAAGTACAGGCATTCGCACACTAAACATGCAAATTTTGTAAAGCAGACACACGTATAAACAATGAATAATTAGAATAGCATATATACATGAGGAAAAACTCAGCAAAACAAGATTACTTCTTTTTATTTGTCCTGCTTGTAAATGTAACAAAACTCCGGTGTTATTATCTTGTAAATATAACAAAACTTCGTTGTTTTCAGCTTGTAAATGTAACAAAACTCCGGTGTTATTATCTTGTAAATGTAACAAAACTCAGGTGTTATTATCTTGTAAATGTAACAAAACTCCGGTGTTATTATCTTGTAAATGTAACAAAACTCCGGTGTTATTAGCTTGTAAATGTAACAAAACTCAGGTGTTATTAGCCAAAGACGAAACAAATTCCAGATTAATTAACAGCTCCTAAGCGACTTTGACATTATACAGTAATATGGATGCATACAGTTGGCTTACTGCGAAATGACCGTACATAATAAGTACGGAAAGTTAGGTAAATATACAGATAAAACACTGAATACACCATTATTATTAAGTCAACTAAAGTAACACTCATGAAACTTAGGAGATAAAACAGAATTAGATAATTGTTAGATTCTAAGCAGTAAAAGAACCAATTAATATGTTATGTTGAATGGGAGTAGGTTTGATTTTATTGCTATCGAGACAGTGACCTATGATTAACTTGTTCACAACCAAGTCTCTCTCATTCTGTTGTCATCCAATTTTTCTAGGTTAGATGCCCAATTATGCCAGAATTTAACTCTAAAGATAAAATTATTTAAGAAATACGTGTGTTACAAACATTTTCTTCACGCGCTTTTGTTTGCTCTGTTTATTGCGGATTTTGGGGTGACACCGTACGTCGGCGGTAAGGTTACGGGCTTACAACGCTAAGATCCAGGGTTCGATTCCTCGCGGAGGCCATAACGCAGAAGTCCAATGTGGCTCTGCGCTAAAACAAAGTGACATTCTACACAACAGACTATCTACGCTCTGTCCACCACGGGGAATCGAACCCTGGATTTTAGTGTTGTAAGTCCGTAAACTTACCGCTGACTCACCGAGGGACTCATATATAGGAAGCCAATAACTTACACGTTTGTTTTGCACGTGGTTTTATCTACAACATAACTAAAGATTCAACAAGCTGTAATTTCCGATGAAATCATTTTTATACACATTCAAAAAATTTACCAATGATTTTTTTTCTAGCACTTTTTTTTCCTTGTCTACATCAAGGTACAAAGTCGTTCTTCAATGGGCCATTTGGGAGAAGTAATTCAGAAAGGTTTAGTTTTATTTAACATGTACAAATAAATCAGACTATCTATCCTGGCTCATCGAAGTATTTTGAGAGATACATATATTTTAAACATTTCTACAAAATATTATGAAGTTCAATTACATAGCGTATATCTGCGAACTTTTCATAAGCAGAATAAGACGAAATAAGTCGTGTCTATCTGCGAACTTTTCGTAAGCAGAATAAGACGAAATAAGTCGTGTCTATCTGCGAACTTTTCGTAAGCAGAATAAAACGAAATAAGTCTCTAGCCTCTTCTAGAGTCGGCATGGACAACTTTTCTATAGTCCACAGACATAGTCTTTTTGTTAGCATTAAGAAATGTCCGGATCAATTAAAAAAAGAAAAGAAAAAAGTCCCCCTCCCTCTAGTAGCTCAGCGATAAAGTCCGAATGCTCATAACGTTAAAACTGGATTTTGATAACCGTGGTGGGCACAGCACAGATAACCCATTGTATAGTAATGGCTGGAGACGGCTTAAATGGGTAATGAAGAAAAACTTTAATACCACAGCAAATGTACAACGTTTCGACAAGGTTTTGTCATCATCAGGTGAGTCTCAAAGTGGGTTCCTCGTCATCGAACCCATTGTATAGCTTTACGCTGAACAACAAACAAAAAATTAAAATTTAGAGAAGTATCCTCAGTTAACCGAATAGCTAATATTTTATAAACACAACGCTGAACAACAAACAAAAAATTAAAATTTAGAGAAGTATCCTCAGTTAACCGAATAGCTAATATTTTATAAACACAAATTCGTCGATATTGGTTTCTTATTTGTTTGTTTTTTGTTTGTTTTATCTACTAAACAGATAATTTGTTTTACTCTGTAATATTAATTTGTATCCAAGAAACGAGCTTTTATATTGAAACAAACTATAAATTATAAACTTGTTCGGAGGTACACGTGTTTCTTGTTAAGCGCTGAACTGCACAATGAGCTATCTGGAAACCCGGTTTTTAGCGTTATAAGCCTTCAGTCTTACCGCTGAGCCACTGAGGTGCTAGCGGACTAATATGCATCTTGAAGTCCACCCTGAACTTAATAAGTTTTTCACAAACTTATGCATGAGATTTGAGAAATGTTTTGAAAAAAAAAAACCTTTTGTGAATTTGGATGAAAAGTTTTAAACAGCAAATTTCAACCCATGTTTGTGTTCACACTGATCTAAAATATTCAAACTATACACACGCACACACTTATTTATCACGATAAATCACGTTGAAATAGGCAACATGCCCGCTTTTAGGTAAGACATCATGTCTCGAAACAACACGCATGATTTCATAATAATGAGTTTGTTCTTAGAGATGACATGCACGTTACTGAAGCAGATGCTAAAATGTCAAACACTCATAACCTATCAACGGTCAATAACTAAAGAAAGTAGACAACGGTACACGGAAACTTTCTGTAGATGATGTTGTACTTACATCAGAACCCAACAACTAAAGATAGTAGACAGCGGTACACGGAAACTTTCTGTAGATGATGTTGTATTTACATCGAAACCCAACAACTAATAAAAAATTAGACAGCGATACACGGAACTCTCTGTAGATAATGTATTTACATCCAATAGGAGTGGGTTATTACACATATACAGATCTATGATACTAAAATCATGCACATCCCTAACTAATTAGTACCCACACAATATATTAACGTACACATAACTTGAGTTTGTTATTAATATTGGTATACTAGGAGTATTTTTATTTTTTATTCTAATTTCACATTTACAAGTGTGCATATATTTCGACGATTTGTGGCTTATCAAACTACCCCAAGTTACCCGACTGCTAAAAAAAAAAAAAAAGGCTTTGTGTGAGTATTTGAAGTATACCTTAGGTCATCCATTTGGGACAAACCACGCTTACCCTCACGTATAGAGAATGTATGTAATATAAGGCTTACTCACCTTATGTGGGGCTTGTAATATCCGATGGACTGCAGTAATCTGATTAATGAGGGGGATATTTACATTAAACGAGTAATGGGGCGGTCTTGCGGGCTCTGGAAAGTTAGTAGTGGCCGTGAATGGATCGATATCGTTCAAATACTGCACCCTGCATGTCAGACAAGCCATTTCTCAGGCACTGTTTGTAAAACTGTCTCATGGCGCGTTCAACATGCGGGCAGCAAGTGCCGACTAACCAGAGCATGCGCAGTGAAAACTTTGCATGGTATCTCCTACCTGTCTCGGCGTTCACCTACCTAGCGTTTCTGTTCCACTCGCCACTTTTTCGTGCTGCAGGAGACACGGGAGGGGGATGAAGGGGGTCGAAATCTGCCATTTTGTAGAGGGGGAGAAGAACTTTTAGAGAAAGCAATAACATGTACCAGTGGGTCAAAGGTCAAGGATAACACTTTTCGAATGTAAAACGATTTCTTTGAATTCGATTTTTAATATGAATGTCTTAATTGATTATGTTAAACGTAAATGATAATTTATCTCAAATTGTACATAATTTTACCTAGAAAACAATATACATTATGAAAATATTAGGACGCTCCTTTGCTTTTTATACAAATAACTGTAAACAAATGAAAGCAAAACAGAAACAGATTAATTGTTGTTTTCTTAAGAATATCGGTGGAAATTCGTCTCAATCTAGTCGTAGACTGTGAAGTTTAATACAAAACAATCTTATAATATTGTGGACAAAAAGGGCGTGGCTTGAAAGCTTTTGTATAATGAAAAGAAACTTAAATCTATTAATATAATAAGAAAAAGAAGTAAAGCGTAGGATCTCAAGGGTGGACTTGTTCTATCCGAAAACTAGTAAGTTTTAAACTGACCCATAAGCTGTGATACGAATTACATTGACCGTTCAATGGTGGACACGTTCTATCCGAAAACTAGTAAGTTTTAAACTGACCCATAAACTGTGATACTAAGTACATTGATCGCTCAAGGGTGGACATGTTCTATCCGAAAACTAGTAAGTTTTAAACTGACCCATAAGACTGTGATACTAATTACATTGACCGCTCAAGGGTGGACATGTTCTATCCGAAAACTAGTAAGTTTTAAACTGACCCATAAGCTGTGATACTAATTACATTGATCGCTCAAGGGTGGACATGTTCTATCCGAAAACTAGTAAGTTTTAAACTGACCCATAAGCTGTGATACTAATTACATTGATCGCTCAAGGGTGGACATGTTCTATCCGAAAACT